CTAGGCCAAGGACCCTCTGAGAAAACCATGGGTGTGATCACACATGCAGTCACACAATGGCACAGTTGAGCTGGACTCAGGTTTAAACTTCAAGTGTGACAGCGTCATAATCAAAAGTTGACATTTTTGCTCTTGGAGATTAAAAGGAAATTTCATAGCCAATTCAAGTAACAACAACTTTTAAAGGTGACATAGTTGTGCTGGAGCATCAGTTACTACTACTAGTCATTCCTAGAGATGTGATTGTTTAAAATGACCCCTTAAATGTATCTTGCTATACACCCGTAATACTTTGCGAAGTAGATATGGAAGCACAGTTTGGCCCCATTTATACCTCAAACACACACACCAAACAAAGACCAACAAACATACACACACATGCTTGAACCCTCTTACCTTTCACACTCTTAGACACAAGGAGGAAATGGGCTCTCAGGGGGGGGGGAGACTTTATGAGTTACGCTTTGTAAAGCGTGCAACGTTAAAATCCTTCCCCCCAGGCTTTTACTGATGTGAAGGGCTCTTTTATTGGGGTCAGTAGAGGGCATAGTGTGTGTGTGTGTGTGTGTGTGTGCGTGTGTGTATGCGTGTGTGTGTGGAACTCTTGACCTGACATTAAGCCTCAGTATCTTAGGTCTCCAGTTCACCGAGGTTACATATTTATTGTATTTAGAGCATCTCAGTTTATCTCTTACCCTCATCTATGGAAACATTTCCTAAATGTACACACTCATTCAATTACCTTCAACTGAGATAGAATTAAACACAACCACTCTCTCATAAACCTTCACTCACACAGTTTATTGAACCACCTCTTTTAAACGGCCTATGGTCATTTAATGATGCAACGGATGGAAAGCCTGTTAATGTGCAGTGTTAGGTGTGTGTGTGTGTGTGTGTGTGTGTGTGTGTGTGTGTGTGTGTGTGTGTGTGTGTGTGTGTGTGTGTGTGTGTGTGTGTGTGTTTCAGATAGAGAGAGATAAAGAAATATACACATACAGCTCCACAGTAATAGCTCTCAGAATGTTATTTGCCTATAATGCCTAATTTTACACGGCATAATATTAGTTACCAGCAGGCTTTTATGCTTTCTCACACTTCACTATTCATTCTAGGTGAGTTTGTTCTGAATAACATGACCTTCCTCTGGTGGCTTTTGTCTCTTTGTTCCAGGGCTTTTAATAATTCATGACAAATAATTGCTCCACTTTTTGTATCTCTTTTGTAGAAAAGTGCTTAATGTTATTGATGTTATCTAGAAGTACCGTCATTCGGCAAAGGTTAATTAATTAATAATCCAATTTAGTGGAGAATCAAATTCAAGCTCAAACATGAATAAACTGTGCTGTTCAACTTTCAGCACTTGACAGACACTATATGAAACAAAGACTTACATTTAACAGGTTTTTCTTGTCACTGACTTGTTTTTATATAAGATAACATCCTTCTTCACAGGTAACTAACAGTCTTTCTATCTCTATATATCTAATGCAGAGTGCAGTTGGGGGGTGGGAGTGTTTTGGGATTAGTGTGTGATTCGTCGTCCCATGGTGGTGTTTGACTGGAAGTGCAGTGTAGAATCACACTTCAGACGATGATTCATCTGTGCTAACAAGCGTTCACAGACAAAGGATCTCTCCTCCTCTCATCTCTTACCTCTCATCTGCCCGGCACCTGTGAGCCCTGTCAAACTAGTGAGGAAATAAATGGTAAAATAAGATCATAATTCTTTCTTATTTTGTATTTGTCACAGTGTATAACCTATGACTATCCTGCACACTCTAGCAGAGATACTTGAATACTCTTGTTCATCCATCCTTTCATTATCTATACCAAACTACACACAGGTGCTCAATCCTCATCCATATATTAGATGTTTTGAAGGACTGGGTCAATATATTGGTGTTATTCGAGGATTGAGCGACATCTAGTCTTACAGAGGCCAAAACTAACAATGCACTCATTCCCTTTCTGTCAACTCACAAAGACTGTAAGGATTAGAAATTGAATATCCTTTAACTGTCAGCCTGTTTATTGTTGACTGTCAGCTGATTTGCTGTTATTGGACATTCAGCTCTTTGCATCTGTCATGCCTTAAACTGCCTCGTCCAAAACAATCTAGAGATGTTGTGCAGTCAGCGATCCCAGCTGAAGCCAATTTACTGTAAACTTGTACTATTTCAGATTTCACAGAATGGTTATCCTTTTATTTTAGATAGCAGGCAAACTTTCTAAGTGGGTAACCATGTTTTTACACTTGTATTTTGTATAGCCATGTCATGTCATGGTTCTGACCTACCTTTAAATAATTTCCTTGACATTAATCAAGATTCAACTTTTGAAGAATACCATAAGGAAATATGACATGAGTGGTTTTCTAACAATGTGTAAATGTGGTAGGGTATTTATTCCTAGTCTTTACAAAGACGATGGTTTTGGTGAGGGAGAGGCTTGGTGTGGCCATAGTACTACTTGGTACAAATAAGATGTGATGAGTCTTTATCAGAATCTTTTTATAGCACCTGAAGAAACGGATACAAATGTCTAAAATCATGGAATAAAAAGTTAGTTGAGACCAGTCTGCATATGTTTAAAAGAACAACACAGAGACGCCACATGGCAATTGTGTGTCAATATACTAAAGGTCCCATGTCATGGCCATTTCTACTGATCATATTTCCATTGTTGAGGTCTGCAATTTTTCTCATACAGCATCTCTGTATAGTATGTGTATTTATTCACCAGGTATTCACTCTCTGTCCTAAACGGCTTGTTGGAGCTTGTCCCTCCCCCCCCCCCCCCCCCCCCTCCCTGTGAGCCCAGTGTGCTCTGATTGGTCGGGACGTTGCGAGGCTCGTTGCTGCGAGGAGCAGACAGGCTTCCGGGTCGGCGATACAGCGAGACACAGCGAAACTCATCCTGAGCACACACAAACACTCATAGCCGAAGTAAAAACAATAAGTGTGGCTTGATATTGAGTAAGAAAAAGGTTTATAACGCTGTGAGCATGGGACTGCGGAGAGCATTTCTCCGGGATCCCAACTCGTCTATTACCAGCGTTCAGGGAGCTCTATGCAAGTCAATGGGGACTCCCTGTTAGTTAGCCAAGGGATCCTGGAGTGTGAGGTGCTGCGCGGATTGGTCCATTTGGGCCAATCCGGTCATTTGTTGGTGATTTGGGTATTAACACGTCACAGAACCCCGGAAGAAACAAATGGAAAAAGAGAAATATCCAACGAGGCGTTCTGGGGCAGCACAGACAGGTCTTTTCTGTGTTAGACTTTTACTCGCTACAGGGTGTACTTTGAGGGTTTGTGACTCTGCAGACCGTTTACATGCAGAAAAACCTTCATAACACACAAGGGGACGGGTAATAACCGGAAAAGCATGACATGGGACCTTTTAAAGAAGGAGCAGTGATGGAAAAGTTACTCGAGAAATGTAATCAATCACACATTACATGTTACTCATTGAGAAAGTGATAACACTAGGTTAATTAGTTACATTACTCGTTACTTTTGTGACTCAGTTTATCTCTTCCAAAGGTGCATTCGACTCCAAATTATTACCGTTTTATCTTTCACAATAAAAGCCCAACTTTAATTTACTCAGCATTTCACTAAGAAGCAACTCAACACAATGGCTTACAATATTGTTCCAGTAGGTGTCAAAAATACTCACTCTGCTTTGAGCAAAGGCAACACAAGTCAGTATTTGCTCAATATGAAATATATGTCATGATCAGGGACGCTCAGATCAGTTTCTGTGACAGTTGGTGTTGCGTTTAGACTAAATCCATAAATGTCCCTTTGCATCTGACACTCTGCACCATTCATTTACTTTAACTAAGCCTCCAGGAGGGGAAATATGTGGTAAATCTCCTGGATAATCATGTAGCAGGTGGGAAGACTAAGCAACACACATAAAGAGAAGAAGACAAGACACAGATGGACTGAATCAGAGAGCAGTAAAAGTTCAAAAGAGAAAGAAAGACAAAGACTAATTCACCCTGATGAGCCAGAGGAGGATAAAGAGATCCATAATGAGAAAGTTCTTCAAACTTTAAAGCAACTTCACTAACAGAGAAAAGGATGTTTATATGGTAAAATGTTCTGGTGCTCACTCAGATCCTGATGACGCAGCGTTTTGCCTCCTCTGATATCAAAGAAAACAAGAGCAGCTGTCAGGCGCTAAATCGTGGCTACTAACAGTTTATGACATGAGTGGGAGGAAAGGAAGAGCGAGAAGAGGAGAGAAAGCTAAACACAGGATTCCTGCACTTCAGGCTTTTGATTTGTGGCAGCGAGCTGAAGGTAGACAGGAGGAGAGGAAAGGGAAGGGATTTAGGATGGAGGGAGAGAGAGAGATAAGAGTGATAAGAGTGACAGGTAAAGGATGTGAAGGGAGGAGGAGGGTAGAAGAATAATTTAGGTGAGGAGAGAGTGAAAACATATCTTAGACTTAAAAGAAATAAAAGCGGGGTGTTATGACTTTGGAAGTCTTTTGTCACGGCTCAGATGAGTTCAGATGCCCTCTAGCAAACACGCCTTTACAGTGCCCTTGAAGTGTAAGTGGGTTGGAGTAAGTATTGATGCAAACACAGCAGACAAGAAAACACATCAGAAACTCTTTATCAACAGTCTTTATCGACATAGGAGCGCCATGTAGAGCACATAATAGATACTTAAGGATCTGCAAAGGCATCCCAAAAGTATAACTGTAACTTTAGCACTATTGCATTTATGAATGTGTGTTTTGTGCCTGTTGATTACAGTCTTATCTCACTGGTTTATCAATCATCAGACCAGAAATGATTTATTTTAGAGATAATTTGCAAACCCGACCAGTGCTTCATAAAAAGTTGCATTATTGGGAGATGTTCCATTGAACTTCTGGATCTATCTTGGGTATTTGTAGAGCATAACATAGCAGGTGTTTTTCCATCATACTCGGTTGTTTCAAATGTATCTGAATATGTGTTTTCTGTGTCCTACCCTCAGGTGAAAGTGATGGTGCGCGTGTGTCCAGTGTCTCAGTCGGACGCAGCTGAGTCCAGTTCCTTCCTTAAAGTTGATCCCAGGAAGAAGCAAATCACCATCATGGACCCGTCAGCCAATCAGACACAAAGCGCTGCCTCCACGAAGAAGGCAGCAGCCAATCAGGTTCCTCCAAAAATGTTCACCTTTGATGCTGCGTTCCCTCCTGATGCATCACAGGTAAGAAAAGTGATTATGAGTTAGGAGAACAAAGGACCTTTCATGACACTAATCTGAAAGACAATGTTCAGTTGAATTTCTAGAAGATAATCAGAAGAAACCTGGACTTACTGTATTGATGTCATACATAGGGGGTGAATCATAGGGGGCATGTGACGCAGTGGGTAGAGCCTTGGTGTTGGGAATCAGGGGGTCACAGGTTCAAACCCCACTGCAGTCAGCATGTCGTTGTGTCCCTGGGCAAGACATTTCACCTCAAATTGCTCCTGTGGGGATTGCCCACAGTATTGAGTATGTAAGTCGCTTTGGATAAAAGCGTCTAACAAGTAACATGTAATGTAATCAAGAGTGTTTATTTTTACCCGGACGGAGCCAGAGCACCTGAGGTTGCCCTTTCAAATTAATATAGTCAATTAAAAAAAAAATTAAAAAGGAACTCTCTTTGGAATAATTGCAATGTATGGGGTCTATCTAACATGCAATCAAAAGGAATAATTGTATGAGAATGAGTTCCATTATTCCCATTCTGCAGACTTAGTGTCAATGCTTAATGCAGCTTTCACTCCAGCCGGCCGAGTCTCGTCTTCAGTCTGTCTTTGATTCTTTCCAATTATCGCTCCGTTTTCACCGATTAGTTTTGAATTAATAAAATACCAATTACATGGTATTCTCCACCTTTACCAGTGCCTCTGACTTCACTGCTATTAAACCTTTAAATGGAACACCTAGTACTCTTGCTGAGTCTTGTAAAAATACATCTGAACTCGGCTTGACAGCAGACCAGCATTCAAGATTCACATCCAAGATTTGACCCAAAAATGTAAAATCAAACTAGGCCTCTAGTATAGAATTAACACACTCAAACTTCAAGTCTCTTTAAAAAAGTGGAGATTTTCTATTTTCATGCCGCCCAATTAACATTGTAGTTGTTCAACCCTGTGAATCACATTTTATAGGGGTCCTGTAATGCATATTTTTAGGTTCATATTTGTATTGAATAAGGTCTTTTTCTCATATTGCCTGTGCTGCAGCACCTCTTTTCACCCTCTGTCTGAAACCAGAGCCCAATCTGCTCTGGCCGGCTCTGTTGTGATTGGTCAACCGCTTGAAGATGTCTATCACGTACATTGTGTTTGAGCGCTAGCCAATAGAAGCGCGAGTGTTACGTAGTGATGTCACTTTTATGGAAATAAACAAAGGATTCCCATGAAGGCGTTTCAGGCACGGAGGGAGTGTGTTGGAGAGAAACTCACTCTGGAGGGAACTTTGAGATTTTGGCCTTTGCAGACCATTAAAATGAACAAATAAATGGATTAAATACATAAAAAATAAGCAACATTAATGAGGAACAAACCCATCATCTACATTTTACCATCTTCTTTTGGGTTATCTGTCGCTCAAATGTACACACCTTCTAGGGCTCCCATGAAGATACGTTTGAACACTTCTCTAACGTACACAGTTTATTATTGTCCAGGTATTTAATTTCTTGACCTTACTCCCTCATCTCTCTCTATCTGCATGTTGCTAGGCGGAGGTGTGCGCGGGAACGGTTGCCGAGGTGATTCAGTCGGTGGTGAACGGAGCAGATGGCTGCGTCTTCTGCTTTGGGCACTCCAAGCTGGGTAACGCTCACACACACACACACAACCAGACTACAAAAACAGAGCATGTGTGTCTCGTGAGTCATCCTCAGTGTGTGTGTGTGTCAGTCTCTCACTCGACCGTCTCTCGACTGGCTCTCATCTATCAGAGAGAGAAAGAGGAGGATTAGTGTCTGCTGAAGCTGAAAGCATTCTCAGTCTGTGTTTCTCTCTCTCTAATCCTTCTCTAGCTGGTTTTAAGAGAAGCTGTCTTAAAAAGGGTCAGCATCCCTTACTGCAACATGCCTGGACCCACCACACACACACACACGGACCCACCACACACACACACACACACACACACACACACACACACACACACACACACACACACACACACACACCACACACACACACACACACACACACACACACACACACACACACACACACCACACACATCACACACACACACACACACACACACACACACACACACACACACACACACACACACACACACACACAACACACACACACACACACACACACACACACACACACACACACACACACACACACACACAGCCAAAGATGTAACTCAACCCTCGGTCGGTCCCCGTTGTGTTTATCCCTCAGCATGTTCGCAGCATTACCCTTCTTGGCTTGTGATCTTCATACAGCATGTTGGAGTTTCTAAGTCCCCTTCAACTGCTGGCAGAGGACGAAAGCAGGGAATTGAAATGCAGCAGTTCAGCAGGGAACACTTCTGTGTTAACGGCTGAGCCCGGGAACAAACACTAATGAATTTCTATGTAAAACCAACATGCAAAGCGCTGTGTTTCCTTGGGTTGTGCTGTGGGGATTTCATGTCTGACCAAACCAGTTGTAAAAGTAAGCTCATTTATACATTTGTTATGAATTAGTGTCTTGTTAATGAGTAGGGATGCCAGGGTGAGGACAATTTTGCACCGGTTATTAAACACCGATTTCAATAAACATTTTACAAGAAAATAATTCCATCGATGACACTCAATTTAAGAATTTGTAGAGCCCTTAAAATCCCAGATATTGCCAAATTGGTGCTTTTGCTTTTTGCTTCCAAATGCTTAACCATTGCCTTTTCAGTCATCTTTCCTTTGACTCCGCTGCTGCTGTAAAAAGACACTTTCAATTTATGATTGTAGCGTCCTTTCACTGGACTAAGAATTGATAACATGCGTAGTTTTAGAATGTGAGCACTGGGTATTAGGGTGGTCCTTCGTGAGAGGTAAATGTTTTGAATTCATTTATTTTAGGCTCCAACCACCGGAATTCGTTATACTAGTCAAGAAAACTCTCCTGGGGAATTTTATTCAAATTCCAACAACATTTACCCCTCCCTCATCGACCTTGAAGTTTAGCCTCACGTAGGGTGGTCCTTAAAATTGAAAGTTGGAGCTTAGACTTTCCGACTTTCAATTTTAAGGACCACCCTACTGGGTATGTCTGAAATAGTAGAGGAAGGCTAGTAGTATGAGTATTCTCAACATTGGTTCGAATTGTCATTTTTGCTGTCATCACTGGCAACACATTCGCTACATTGAATCGAAAGGTCAAAAGACATACGTTTTTCAGACAGTCAGAAAGTTAAAGTCAGCTTTTTAGACACATTAATTGCATTTGTCTACTAAAACTAACCCCACTTAAAGGTGGGGTGGGTAATTTTGGAGAAACCAGCTCGAGTGCGCTCGAATTTGAAAATACACAGCCGGAAAAAATCTGCCACTTCCTTACAGAGCCCCTCCTCCAACACACACAAACGAGCACATGACCAATGAGGGCACGAGATAAGTTTGTGCACAGATGGAAGGCTGACAGGCAGGTAGGCCATCCAGTTATTTTAGCTCAGATGATCCACAGATTACATTGTTTTATGTATTTATTGTCAAAGCATTTCACATATTCATTGCTATCGGGATGTTAAGAGCATTCCATGGAATATAACAAAAAGTGTTTCTGAAGTGAATTACATACCCCACCTTTAAATTGAAGCTACAACTGAGAGTCAACTGAAAGCAAAGTGTCATGTATTACCAAATTCAGCCACTATACGGCAATTAGCCTCACCAGCCAACACTGTTGGGTGTTCGGTAAACCCTAATGAAAATATATAAAACACACTGGTAATTTTGCAAACAAGCCCTCGTTGCAAAAATAAAACCACAAGTGTACGCCACGTAGTTGTGATAAATCAGGCTGTATGTTTTCTGCTATCAAAAAGGCCAACTAAAGAAAGCTCCGACAGGCAGTGTAGATGTTTCACATCTCTCACCATGTTTACATGTCTTCACTCAGCATTCAAACATTCACACATGGGATAACTGTGTCATGGTCCATGAAGATGATTCATAGTGGATAATACTGTGACTGGAACCCACACACACACACACACCTTCTATTGTCAGTGTTTGGCTATGTTGAGTAATTGGCATTTCCAGATTTTCTGGCTTTAATAATGCAACAGCTTTTATATGATCCATCAAAGAGAGTTTGCTCTTTCAATCAATTTTACTGTTATATTAATGTCGTGGAGCGACTCTAACATCGCTGGTTTCAGTTAAAACGGCTACAGCAGATGAGATAATTGTTCTCCATACAGCTCTCCTAAGGCCATGGATCTTAATGAGGCTGCATTATAACGGAGTTACCTTTTTCCTAATTAAAATGGGGAAAGTAACACAAGGAGCATTTATCTTCAGCCCTGTGGCCCTTAGCTGTAGACACATATGGGGACACACACGAGTCTGCTCTCACACACACACACACCACACACACACACACACACACACACACACACACACACACACACACACCACACCACACACACACACACACACACACACACACACACACACACACACACACACACACACACACACACACACACACACACACACACACTTTTGCAAAGAGTAACCAGGCTTTTCATTGAATAGGCAGATACTAAAATAAATGGATGGACTTCAGGAATGTAATTGAATCCTCTGGCTTTGAATCATGTCTGATGGATTATGGTAAACGTTAATGGATTATTGGCTTAGGTTGGATCATCTTTTATAAATGATGTGTGTGTGTATGTGTGTAAACTCATGTGTCTCATGTCTTTGAACTGGTGATACAGAGCTGCCTTGTTCTCTCACACTGTCTTCACCCTGTTCACTTTCCTTCTGACTATCAAGCATAAGTACGGGCACGAGCAAAAATAGGACTCAAGAGCACAACCAGGCAATAAGGTCTTTAGTCAAGCGTTTAATCCAAAAGGTAAAAATAAAACAGGCAATGATCAAAAAATGTACTGACTTGAAGTAACGAAAAACAACCAACTAAGTTGGCGGAAAACTACTAGAGAAGCAACACAACAAAAAAAAAACTAGGTTGGTACAAATGCTAAGCAGCTAGAACAATAGCTTACGTCAGAAGAGAAACATGGAGCACCTTCTGCTATACAGACAAGACAAACTGGCACTGACCAAGGAAACAGCACAGACTAAATACACAGGTGAGGAGTGATCATTAGGGACAGCTGAGGCTCATTGAGACCAGGCAGGTGATTAACAGGGAGCGAAAATACACAGGTGAGGGAGTGAGGCGATCAGCCAGGGCCAGGATGTGACACTGACAGCATGCGAAGCTCTGCTTGAAGGGACCAATTACTGTGAATATGCATCAACTAGCCACACACACACACACACACACACACACACACACACACACACACACACACACACACACACACACACACACACACACACACACACACACACACACACACACACACACACACACACACACACACACACACACACACACACACACACACACACACACACACACACACACCTTTGTCGCCTGAAGTGTGTTGTCACTGTGTTACAGTGTTAGTCAGTGTACTCAGCAGTAATCTATCTGACCATATCTTGACAGCCTGTGGTAGTCAGAACTTGTAGATGTAATTTAAGACTCCCTTACACAGCCCTGAAAGGCAAAACAACAGAAAGGACGGTTGTTCAAGTACTCTGTGGTTATGGTAGCGGTAAGACAAAGAGCCATTATGATCGAGGGAGCCCATTGGATTTAATACAAATAAATCAAACAGAAATTCAGTTAAATCAAAGTAAATGACTAAATGTTGCTTATTTTTATACAACTGATCATATTCTTTATTGTATACTTTGACAGCATTTGTAGGTTTTATCTATAGCAGATGCAGCATTGCGCTTTAGAGACCAATAAAGGATTTCATTTCCACTACTATAAAGTTATAAACAATGTCTAAACATTTTTGATGAGCTTTTTCACTATTTCTCCTCTACTTTTTCTGAATTTTATGTGACAATACATAAAATGAACCTTTGTTTCGACAGTAAGTCTTAACGCCCCTGTAAAAACATTGAGGGAGAACAATGTAAAATGTCAGTGCAGCTGACAACCGCCCCTCCATGCTGGATCTTTGAACAAATGTGAACACATTTCTCTACCCTGCATCACAGCAGCCAGGCTTTTGAAGTCCTCTGTTTCTGTGTAAGTGTTAGTGTCAGTGTGATTGTGAGGTGTGACATATGGCTTTGTTTATGTGTGTGTTTGATCTCCCACTCCTGACAGTCAGAGCAGGTGTGTGTGTGTGTGTGTGTGTGTGTGTGTGGTGAGGATAATCATCGTCTTGTGTGCAAGAATGCTCCATGTGCACATTGGCATTCAAACACACACATGTCACACACACACCTATTCACACAGAGCACATTTTCACTTGCTAGTGTTACCGATGATGTCCATCTTTTTCTGCACCCTTATTTTGTCTTCCTGTCTTTCTCTTGCAGGTAAATCCTACACCATGATTGGCCGAGATGACTCGCTTCAAACTCTGGGAATAATCCCATGTGCCATCTCCTGGCTGTTTAAGCTCATCAATGAGAGGAAGGAAAAAACCGGAGCTCGCTTCTCAGTGCGCGTCTCTGCAGTGGAGGTCAGTGTTACTGGCAACTCTGCTGATGCAGACTTTTAGGAGAGGAGGTTACTAAAAATATCTTTACTAAGTGGTCAATTCAGTAGCTTTAGTGCTGGCAGTGGCACATCAAATGCTTATCACTGTAATATTTACTTTAAACTTTCTCTGATATGGTTTTAGATTTTCCCTTTACAATTTGTCTGACAAAGTGTGTGTGTGTGTGTGTGTGTGTGTGTGTGTGTGTGTGTGTGTGTGTGTGTGTGTGTGTGTGTGTGTGTGTGTGTGTGTGTGTGTGTGTGTGTGTGTGTGTGTGTGTGTGTGTGTGTGTGTGTGTGTGTGTGTGTGTGTGTGTGTGTGTGTGTGTGTGTGTAGGTTTGGGGAAAAGAGGAGAACCTTAAGGACCTGCTGTCTGAAGTCGCTACAGGAAGCCTACAGGATGGACAGTCACCTGGAGTCTACCTGTTTGAGGACCCCATCTGTGGCATGCAGGTATATACACTCACACACACCTGCACACACTCAAACACACTGCAGCAGCTGACGGGAATATTTGCTTATGTAATGTGACTGCTGTATATCAAATCCTGTGTGTATGAACAGCCTCTGGCCTTGTATCAATATGCTCTGCCTTTATTTCTTGGAGCCTCAGGCGAATAGCTGTGGGATACGCATGCTTCCTTAGACTTATATAGTCACCTTGGAGCAGCAGATAAAATATGGTAGCTTTATCATGCCATTATAGTCTTTTTTCTTCAAAAATAAACCAAGCGTCTTTTAAAACACAGGCTTCAGAAATAGCTCTGACTGGCTTAGTCAGAATCAAAGAAAAGAAATGTCAAGTGTATGATTCAATGACATGTACAAATAAAAGTATAGCTAGAGAAAAATATGTTGTCTGCTTATATTCAAGATTGTGGACTGATGTTTTTTCATTTAATTTAATGATAAATAATTCACTTTAATAAGCATGAATCAGCCAACAAAAGGCATTACATTGAATCCCAATTATAGTTAATGTTATCATCATCATTAATTTTAAAGTTTTAATTACATAATAATGTGAATAGTGTGTGTATGAAGAGGAGCTCAATTGACATCTAACTGACAGAAAATTAACTTGTGTGTGTGTGTGTGTGTGTGTGTGTGTGTGTGTGTGTGTGTGTGTGTGTGTGTGTGTGTGTGTGTGTGTGTGTGTGTGTGTGTGTGTGTGTGTGTGTGTGTGTGTGTGTGTGTGTGTGGTTGCAGTTTTGTTTATGGGATTATAGGGTCTGAAACAAGAACATCTGTGTAATCCTTAACTAATCTGACATAATCTCATCAGTAATGATATCCTGAAGCAACACGCACACACTCTCTCTTTCTTATCGCATTCTCTCTCACCTTTGATTCCATTGTTCTCTGACTGCCATATCTCCAGGCAAATTAGAAAATGCTTTATTTGAACATGCAAATCATGTACACAGTATTTTCCGTGTTTAGACACTTTTTGGCAAGTAAACTGAGCCTCAGATAAGATTAAATGGTATCTTCCCTCTTGTCTGGCTCATGGCCCTTTCTTATATTCACACCATTTTTCTCCTCCCACACATCTCCCAGCTCCAGAACCAGTCTGAGCTGCGTGCTCCGACCCCAGAGAAGGCCGCCTGGTTTCTGGATGCAGCCATAGCAGCTCGCCACAGCAGCCAGCGGCCAAACACCACCGAAGAAGAACACAGGAACTCACACATGCTGTTTACACTACACATATACCAGTATCGCATGGAGAAGACCGGCAAGGGAGGGAGTAAGTACTGTTTGTTCTAATGTACCTATTCATTATAATACTAACAACAACAAACAAAAAGCTTATTTTACTGCTGCAGAAACTACTCTTTTATGTTGTTATCACATCACATGATGCCTGCTGTGAGTCCTACACCTGATAATCATACTATTGAAATATTGCTTCCGCACATGGAAGACACAACAATGATAGACAGACCAAAGCATTTACTATACTCACTATAGATGTATAAGGAGCGCAGGCAACAGACTTCCTGACAGAGTTGTGCACATACCTGTCACAGACTGATATAGATAATTTGTTTAGATGAATTCCCAGACATATCACACCTGCACTCATGTCTCCATCAATAACTGGATGATAATGAATGGGTAGTGTGAGTTTCTTTGTGTGTATAACAATGAGACACTGAGACAGATGTCAGACCAAAATAACAATGATAACTAACACTCCGAGTGCTTTTACGTATATGCATGCATATATGATAAAAAAAGGCAAAAGTTTGTGTGTGTCCGTGTGTGTGTCCATAGCCCCTGAATTCAGTTTGATTATGTGAAACACATTCTTATAAAATTGTATTATTTTTGTCTTTATTGAGGGATTGTAGGGTCTATACTCATCAACACCACGTTATTAGCCCACAGTATTTTCAATACCAGGGAAATTATGTGTTTGTTGATGATATATTTGACTGGATTATTATATTCCATCACAAATAAATGTATCTTATTGTGCCGCACCTTGTGGTGAATTAAACTAGCAGAAAGGGTTGGTGTTAGCTCCATAAATCCTCGACTGAAAGGCGTGTTTTGGTGTGTGGACCCCCCCTGGGGAGGCCACTCTCCCACTTTGAACATCTCTGTGCTATTCCTGCACTTCAGCCCCTCTTACGTGTATGCACACCTCACCATCCTGTCTGGCTCACCATGTCTGACACATTTTCTCACTTTGCCAGTGTCAGGGGGTCGCAGTCGCCTCCACCTGCTGGACCTGGGCAGCTGTGATGTCAAAGTGCTCGGAGGAGGAGGAGGAGGAGGAGCGGGAGGTGGGAATGGAAGGGAGAACTCTTCGCCCAGCTCGGCCCCTCTGTGCCTTTCTCTGTCCGCCCTCGGCAACGTGATCCTGGCCCTGGTGAACGGGAGCAAAACACATACCTTACAAGTAAGCTGCTGTTTGAATGTATGTGTGAGGAGAGAAGGAGAAGAGAGGAGACGAGGAAATGAAAGGAGTGTGCAGAGAAGTGAAGAGTGAGAGGAGGAGGGAAGCAGACGAGAGATGTCTCAAGCTGTTTCAGGTTTTTGAGACTTAATGTTATAAACAACAGCTGCTGTTACATATTCATCACATTCATTTAGCTGGTTAACTGACTGGCAATGAGAGTAAAGGAGGGATGGAGAGATAGAACAGACAGAGACCTTATTCAGATTTTAACAGTCATAAAATGAAAAAAGGGGGGAACACATTTGAATTTCTGTTAGTTTAGTACCCTATTTCTACTTAGTACCATATGGCCAATGGTATAGTATAAACAGTGTATTGTATGAAACAAACTGTAAATGCTATCATCTCCCTTCTCTTTCCTCCTTCCTCTTTGCTCTTCCTCTCTCCTTAAGGGTGTTTTCACTCTCTGATTCATGCTGAGTTAATTTTAATCACCAGATTTTGCATTTGCATTGCAAAACAACCTGCTACCTTACACTGAGGCTGCGAGCAAAGCTGTTTGCCAATGTATGCCGTGTCACTGCCTTCTCTAGAGCCAAGGATCAACACAATCACCGCAGAACAACAAATCACTAAGCAAAGTCTGTAGAGCACAAGCTCTCGTGGATCTCAGTGGAGACAGTAGGAGTGTGTTACTGCATGGCTACCAGCCAGCAGGATATATAAGACTAGTGTATTCATAAAGTTAGTTGGATGTCTGTCTTTTTAAGCAGCAGGTAGCTCAATTATCTTCTTACTTGGAATATAAGATGGGTCAATTCTCTCTGACCAATCAGCAGTCTGCTGTGTTTTAACTCCACCTTCTTGTATTGGCTCAGCTCTCTTGGAATTTTACCAGGTACACTGTTAATACATTTGGTTATGGCCATACAAATATAAGAAATACGGCCCACTTGAGAGTTGTTGATATATTTCAGTCTTCATTGAGGGGGGGACAGACAACCTGCCAGTTACTAATATTCTTTCGGTTCCGACTCAAAATCCATTTTGAGTCCAATAACTCTGCTTCATTCATTCCATCCCAGTTAAAGGCTGTCTCTCCAGTGCTTCATTACTTTCAGGTTAGGGTCCCATCACGCTCTTATAATCCCAGTCCCATTCCACTACTGTTGCTAGGTTACCCCCAATTCTGTCCCAGTTGATCAGTAGACATTTTCCTCTGCCTCTGTAGCTTCCCAGTTAAAACAGAAGTGCAGACAGTTGTCTGTAACCACAAAATCAACACTTTGGCTCTTGCCAAGACATGAATCCTAGCATCTCAGCGTGATGCCAGACGGACTATGTTTCCGCCACAACACACTCAGGGAGATTTAGAGGCTCTTCTCACATTCACTAAACTTCAACTTTTGTCATCACTCATCAGGGACTCTCTACAGCTCCTCGTACCAAATCAGAACCACTTCCATCTGGTTTGCTGTATCTCTCTCCTGGCAACGTGCCAATTCATTCATGCAGCTCCTATATTTTTCCACTGACACCCCTTCTCCTGTAGTGGAGTCACACACAACCATCCAGAGACACAGTACGTTGTGTATGCTGTTTGACCATAGAATTGATTATATTAACAAAATAAGTGTTAAGGGATTGCAACAGACGTGAGATGGGTATAGATTCTAGACCCATCTCAAGTCTGTAGAAGATTGTCTTAATTTATATGCTTGGTTATAGACAAATCCGTAAGTGAACAACGTGTTCAGAAGGTCGCCTAAAATTCTTATAGTTATTTTTTTATATAATGGTGATCTAGGAATTTCTTTATAGACACGTTTAAATCATGTAGAGCACCATGTTACACTCAAAACAAGGTACTGCAGTAAATCTAGTCTCAGAGGTAAGTTCTTATCCAACGTCCCCAGCACTTGAATTAACATGCAAATGAATACTTCATGAGTCATGAATTTACCTACATTAATCTCGGGGAGATATAGAGATAGAGAGATTGAGAAAAAGAGAGAGTTTGTTGAAGCCTGAGGCGGCAAACAGAGAGAGAAGAAAACAGACGAGAGGAGTGGATAGAGCATCGATGAGAAAGAGGAGGTCAAGATAGGAGTGTATACACACTCGGGTATGTACTGGATCTGTGTGTGTGTACGTGAATATACATATATGTGTGTGAGACATGCCTGCAGGCTGTGTTTTTAGAGAAGGGGGACAGCAGCGTGTGGTATTGGGCCACAGAGGAGCTTTACTCACTGTCAGCCTGCAGGCCTCAAAACACACACACACACACACACACACACACACACACACACACACACACACACACACACACACACACACACACACACACACACACACACACACACACACACACACACACACACACACCACACACACACACACACACACACACACACACACACACACACACACACACACACACACACACACACACACACACACACACACACACACACACACACACACACACACACACACACACGAATGACTGCAGTAGCCCACCCAGGAGAAAGTATTTTCTTAAACACACAGCCTACTGTTACTCTCCCATCTGTTAGCGTAATCTCTCTGGGAGATATATTATCTCCCAATATTAGAATACATAAATCCAGAGTGCTTTTCGTTTAGACTGTCAGCTTTAGCCTGGAGAAGCAGTCTTTTCCATGTTTAAAGGGGCCCTATCATGCTCATTTTCAGGTGTCATGTTTGTCATATAAACCCTTGATCAATGATCATTAAGCTTGATTCATAATTATCATCCACTCTTGATTTAACACATTTTAGCTTAATTTATATGATATGTAAATTGTTAGCGTGGTGTTTTGCCATAGTTACACAAACTGTAACCAAGGATAATTATTAATAACCTTTTGTCAAATGTCAGGCCTGTGGGGGTGTGCGTTAGAAAATCGAATCGAATGTTTGAGTGAATTATTTGTGTGTATTTCCAAAGTGTCTTTAATGCTCACATCTCAGTATATGTGTGTTACTAGGGACAGCAAGCTGACCATGTTGCTAAGGGAGTCGCTAGGCAACATGAACTGCCGGACCACCATGATTGCTCACATCTCTGCCTCACCCAGAGATTTCTCAGAAACGCTTTCCACCATCCAGATTGCTTCCCGTGTCCTCCGCATGAAAAAGAAGAAAACTAAAGTCACAGTGGTGAGTTAGACTCAAACCTTGATGCTTCATTAACCTTTGAAGATAGTCTCTCTTTATCCCATAGAACTTTAACTTGTGGCACATTTAATTCAAGATAGACTACCACTAAGATGGACATGTAACTGTTGTAAATCAGTGTGAATCTCCATTAAACATCCTGTTCAAATCGTCTTATTTGAGTTGCATTTCATTATCTCCTATGACTTTCCATCACATGTGCTGCTGACACCTTTCTTCCCACTTCACTTAAAATGCTCACTTATTTCAGAATTGTTCTACTGAAAAAAAGGACAAGGGCTTCAAGGCTCTAAAAATAAAACTGGAGTGAAAGTGCCAGTCTGTGAAAGAAATAGGAATAATTTAATCTAAAAAAAAGTTCTTATCTTTAATCCGTTACTTGGTGCATGGCCAGGATCTACATGGATTTCATCCTCTCTCCTTCCTCTCCATCTCCCTGCATTGTGAACTGTCAATTAAAGGCAAAAAAAGGGAAAACATGCTCTGCAAATCTAAAAAAGGGAGTCGTTTCTCTCTCTCACCTCCCACTCTGCCTCTTCCTCGCCTGTCTCTTCCCGTTTCTCAGCAATACACGTCCAGCTCCTCTGGAGGAGAGAGCTCCTGCGAGGAAGGTCGCATGCGTCGACCGACTCACTTGCGACCTTTCCATCACCGTGGTGACACCGACTCTGACCTTCCCTTGCTGCGACTGTCCAGCGACCCTGATGAATATTCGAGCAGCGAGCAGTCATGTGACACGGTGATCTACGTGGGTCCGAATGGAGCTGCGGTGTCCGACAGAGAGTTAACGGACAACGAGGGGCCGCCAGAATTTGTACCAATAATTCCTGCTTTGCTTCGAGGGAAAACATCAGAGCCGCTCCAAACACAGCCAGCTGGAGCCCAGAACAAGGTGATTTAAATATATTTACATTTAGACAATCAGAAGTAATCAGAAGAATGCTAGTTGCAAAGAAAGATGAGATTACTCCCGTCTCTGTGATTTCAGCTCCAACAGGTGGAGCCAGAGGAGCCAGGCCCCCCCCAGCCTCAGCCCTCTCTGCTGGGACAGCCACTGGCCCCCGTCCCAGAGGAGGCAGCTGAGTGCCTGAAGTGCAACACATTTGCTGAGCTGCAGGAGAGACTGGACTGCATCGATGGCAGCGAGGAGGTGAGGAGAATCTTCAGTATTTATTTAAAGAGAAACAACAACTAAATACACCAGAGAAGAGAAAGAGAGGCTGTATTACTGTTTGACATGTTGTTTGACAACTATCTATTCAAATGGGAAAAAGAGTTTTGTCTCCATCTGCTTAATATTTTCAACATGTATCTGCATAACCTCCTGCTTGCTGTGACAGTTTGTAATTACGGTGGCGTTTTCCTTTCTCTTTAAAAAAACATTTGCTCTCAATTGTGCAAAAAAAGGATGCATTTGAAAAGTATTTTTGTTGTCAAAATATGTACGAGACTCGGTTCTTTGCATGTCACCATGTCTTTTAAAGTTGTAATGTGCATTTTTAACATCCAAATCAATCCATCTCAGGTTTTCTGATATGAATAACGTGGCATTTCTTATCTTACCTGTCCCTTTATTCAGGTTGCAAAGTTCCCATTTGAAGAGGTTTCAGCGGGCAAACCAGGCCCAAAACAGGAGCCATGTCCATCTTCAGCTGTCCCATCTGCAGCTGTCCCGTCCTCAGCTGTCCCGTCTGCAGCTGTCCCGTCCTCAGCTGTCCCGTCCTCAACTGTCCCGTCCTCAACTGTCCCGTCCTCAGCTCCCGCTGCGCCTGGCTCTGCTGCTGCGTTGGATACAGAAGCCAAAACAGGTACATTCCTTTATTACACATACCAAACATACATTATATATTAAAGCAAACAAAAACTGGTGTGCATTTATGTTAAACAATGCAGCATCAAGTCAGGTCTCATTTCACAGTTATTGCAACCTTTGGGATTTAGAAACAATTCTTCTGTCCGTCGCCCACAGGCTCTGCTGCAGGAGGCGCAGTGCAGTTCTTTTCCTCGACAGTAACCACTTCCAGAAGGAGGACCAATGACCAGCAGCTGCAGGATATTAAGGAGGTGGTGGAGGAGGCAGAGCTGGCCCAGACCATGATCCACAGCCTGGCTCAGAGTTCTGGTTCCCCCATAGTAACCAGCACCAGGAACGTCACAGGGAACAGCTGCATCACCTCGAGCCCCCTGCACAGGACCAAGAGCTGCATGCATGACAGGTGAGGATGGGTGTCTTTTAATTAGAGGGAGCTCTTTTTCATGCATATTTTGCTATTAGCCTTTGGAAAATGTTTAAATTGAATGTATGTCTTCCGTATTGTGTCTCTGACCAGCCATGAGAGTCTGAATATGGGCACTGATGGGAAGGCCCGTCCATTGGGATCACCGCGCCTCGGCATCGCCAGCCTGACCAAAACCTCAGACTACAGGTAAAGTACACAGAAATACTGTGGGCTAATAAGGTGGACTTGTTGTCTGTTACATGTATTGCTTACATAACTAAATTAAACCCTCAGCAACCAAGAATCTCACAAACAGTCCAAAAGGGTAAAAGGACAACAGCTTCAAAGACCAGCTTGAAAATGTTTGATCCTCTTATCTCTCCTCAGGCCTCCGTCCTCCCCGTCCCAGCGCTGTAAAGTGTACACCCAGAAGGGCGTGATGCCGGCGACTCCTCCTCTGTCCTCTTACACTCTGGCTCAGGATGGCCAGGGCACAGAAGTGTTGACCTCCGACAGTATGTATATCTTTTTATCTAGAATTTAGTATTTTAATGTTACTTCTTAAGACTTACTGATGCATTAACAGTCTGTGAATGGGCATCCTAACAAGCATGTCTTTCTTGCAGGTAATGTGGTGGCTGTTTTATGCCAAAACCATTACATAAATGTAATATGGTCACATACTGAGTCACTTGTGCACAACACAGATCATCATAATAACCAGCGGGTCCAAATTATAATCATAGTGTGAAGCCAATTTCCTTGTTTTCTTCCCTTGGACAACACATGTAATGACGGTGCCAAATGTGTTTCTGATTCTTCAGACAGTTTGGCTGCAGACAGCGGCCGCTCCTCCACGGACTCCATGCTGTCCAGGACTTCTCCGGTGGGCATGAGTCCACAAGTCCGAGAGCCAGCTCAGTCTCTGTCCGCCAGCCTGGGATCAGCAGAGACGCTCTGTGACGACGATGTCCCTCCGATCCCCCTGGACACGCTCAGAGATGGTGAGGGTCATGGCTATGAGAGCAGGATATGAGTCATATGAGTCCTATAGAAAGAAAGAGAAGGAATTATCACAACAAATATTGTATAAACATTTACACATGTTTTCCCTCTGTTTTCTCCTCCACTTGAAGCCTCAGGGCTGGCACTATCTGTAGGAACAGTTGGACCTCTCTCGCGCGGGGAGGATGAACTGATGTATGCTGTGGTTTTTGGAGGTGAAGAGGACCTTGTTGTTACAGCTATAATGGACACTCAGGATCTGACCTGTCGTCCAACGAGCATCATGAGCTTCAAGAGCGACTGCTGCTCCGTCACTTCCCTCGCCTCGGGCCACGGTTCTGCTGAGGGTGGAGCTGTGGAGGATTATCACATGCCTGCAGGGCCTGCAACCACCTCAGGGGTGGCAGAGGTTAGTGGGACCGACTCACATTTACAGCAACTAAGGAAATTAACATGTGGACATCTGTCCTTAAAACATATGTCCTCACTATGGATTTCAAGATATTTTGACTGTAAAAACAAACACATAACAATACCCACCAAAACAAAGGCTTAAGATAAGGGTTCTGGATCCATCATTGCTGCAACTGAAAACGAATGGGAAATGTTGTCTCATTTCATTGGCCGATTGACACAGTGACTCAATTTTTGGTGTCTATAAACTAATAATTTAATCGACAGTTATAATATGATAAAATGTCTACCTTTTTAATCCGAGTTTAGATTACATTTCCCATATGATAGAGACTTTTTTCTACATAATCTGGATGCTTACAGTTACATCACATTTAGTTTGCTGCGTTGATGAATCACAGTTTTTATTAACTTCCATTAGGGTTTCAACAATTTGTCAATTATTCGATTGACAGAAAAATAATAGCCAAGTACTTGGGTAACTAATTGATCAACAAATGTTTTCATGTAAAAATGGCACAAAAAAAATTGTATTAGACATTTAAAGATGGTTTATTTCAAATTAATAATAATAATATTACAAAAATAATCTTTAGATGCCAAAATGTACAAAATAAAACCCCAATGGCTGCCCTTTTTTACTACATCGTTGTTATCAAGCAACCTTGTCCAATTGAGTTGCATCCTGTTGCAGGTGGCCATGGCCAAGCTGCGGATCGAAGGCGAAGCTTTAGCCACAGTGATATCACGCTGTGGTTCACCCATTTCCTCCTGGATGAGTGACCTGAGCATGGCCAGTGAGGCCGACCAGTCCCTCCACAGCTTCAGTCAGTCCCAGAGCCAGCAAGGGGAGGCCCTGGCTGAACCTGAGCCCGCCCAGAGCCAGGTGCTCGGGGCGGAGGGGCCAGGTGGGTACGAGAGCTGTGGCAGCCCGAGAAGAGGGAGTCTGGACGGAGAGGTGGTCCTGTCAGAAAACACGTGTGATAAGGCAACCCCAACGAAAGACAGGTGGAGGAAACTGCCCCCCTCCATGGCTAAAACTAACATCCAAATCCTGGCCGGACCGGGGTACTTCTCCCCCTTCAAGCCCAGCATCAGTGTGCACCCCTGTGTGGCTGTCAAACCCATGGTCATACAGGAACCAACCATCCTGTCTTCACCCACCAAGGCCAGCCTAATGAAAGACAAATTCACTGCACCACTTCTAGCTTCTATTTCCAGTGATATGAGCTTTGAGGACCCCTGGTTGAAGCGTGGCATGGAGGAGAGGAAGTCCAGGGAGCTGGTGTGTGAAGTGAAGCCGGAGAAGAGGGAGGTCGAGCTTTCAAAGGGCCAGACTGGAGCTGTGACAGGAGACCAACGAGGGTTCTGCAAGGATGGTAAGAGGGCCAGATTTTATTTCAGGCCAGGAATCTAACATCAGGCAAGGCCAGTCTCATTCAGATATTCACAACAGACCAATGTTTAGCTGCTCACTTTTAAAGCCATATTCGTAACACTTTATAATAACCATCATAAACAAAAGGTCAATGGATAGTATATTAACAATAATTATTAGATATATGCTACTTTTAAACAAATAAATGTTAATAAATAATATTCATATTATTAGTACATCTATAAGAAGGCTTGAAAAATGATTGTTTTTGTAAATGTTAGTTTTGAAACGGCCGTCTCTTTACAACTCTTACTAAAGATATTGATGATCAACTTTGGTAGCACTAAGGAAGTGGAGGTATTTCCACCTGAAAAAAACGATTATAGAGGTCTTCTGTCTTTGTTGACGCCAGTTGGGCCTGATGGAAAAAAAATGTTGTTTCGAGGTAAAATATTTGCAGGATTAAGTCTGTGTTATTTCTATTCTTCCATCACCAGGTGGTTATCGTGGCGGCTGTAGTCCAGGTGTTGTTGAGGTTGTGTCGTCTCCAGATGCCTTTAAGAGGGTGGTGGACGGCTGTGAGATGGTGGTGGTCGCTCCTCAGGGAGAATGCCTGACTGGTTTCTACAGCCCAGACGTCCACCGTACAGCCAGCCTCCCCCGCGGCTGGCACCGCCTCAACCGCCACGACGGCCTGGACATTGGGACGGAGTACCGACATCTTGGAGTCACCTCTTCCACTCCCTGCAGTCCCAGAGCCACACTTGACCGCAGAGGATCAACGGGGAAACAGGGCTTTTTCTCCCACAGGAAGGGGGGGATCCCACCGCTGCCACCGATAAGGAAGTCCAGTCTCGACCAGAGGAACCGAGCAGTCAGCCCTCTCCCCCAGCCCAGCTATGGAGGCTTGTTTCTGGACAGCTCAGCAGATGATGCAGAAATCTCCAGACTACGAGGCTCCAGCATAGACAGCAGCAGACTTTTCAGCGCCAAGTTGGAACAGCTTGCAAACAGAACCAACTCTCTGGGTCGGGTGAACAGCTCCCACAGTGGATCCCACCACTATGACTGCTTCTCTCTGGAGAGAGGGGGGAGCCTGAGAGGGGGAGGAGGAGTAAAGGGGGACAGCACCATGCCTCGTACTGGGCGCAGCCTGACCCGGGCTGGATCAGTATCTTCTCCCACTGGAAACGCTGGCAGCCCCGGTTTCAGCGCCAGTCCCAGCAGCGCCCCGCAGTCACCCGCCAAATCCAGCGGCCAGTCAAAGATCTCAGCGGTCAGTAAGCTGCTGATGACCAGCAGTCCCAAAACCAGGAGTCTGTCTTCGTCCAGCACCAAAACGCTGAGCTTCTCCACCAAGTCTTTGAGCCAAGCCTCCAGCCGCAGCTCCAGCCTTCCCCCTATTGGAAAGGTAGGCAGGAACATTTATTTCTTGGAGATAAGACTGTTTACACCTGTCAACAACATGGCTCAACACATCAGACTAGAAGAGTGGCTGAGTTTGAATGACATCTTCCTATTTTGGCAGTTTTTAAATCAATAACTCAATGCATGTAATTCAAGTCGTCATGGTCTCATTTGTCCTTCCATCCATCTAAGCTGTTTATCTGTTTCCTCAGCCCCAGAGCTTGGTCCCGCCCACTCCTCAGCCGCAGCCGCAGCAGCAGCAGCAGCAGCAGCAGCAGCAGCAGCAGCAGCAGCAGGGACCCTCCCCTGTGTCCTGGTCCACCCAGTCTCTGAGTCGCAGCAGGGGGGTAAGCCTGTCTGCCAAGCTGCCTCTCCGGGCTGTCAACGGTCGAATCTCAGAGCTCCTCCAGGGAAGTGCAGGCTCTCGTTCCAGGAGTCATGCCCAGGGAGGAGGCACTGATCCAGCAGAGGAGAGAGGAGCTGCAGGGGCAAGGTTAGTCAGTTTAACTTTTACTTACCTTTTAAAGCATTGTGTGTCACAAAGTGTGATATCCTAAAGTAAATTATACAAAGTGCAAGACTTGTAAAGCACTTCATATTAAATAATATCATTACAGTAAAGTGGTAGTTTTAGACAGTACACACCATTCATGTGTCATATGAAAATCATCAATTCCAGAGCTGGAATAATAATTTCCTCAGGATCTCAATCTCTCTGCTCCACTGTCAATGTTTCATCTAAAAAGGCAAAATTCTATTAAAATGTAGTAAATTAATAATTTGTTCATGGATTAAATGTATATATGTTTCTGTTCTCAGTGGAGGGGGAGCTGTAGCAGTAAGTGGGGGTAGTGGTGGAGGTGCAGGTGCAGGTAGCAGCGTGGGGGGGGAGGAGAAGGCAGCTGTGGTCCAAACGCTGCCCTCCCCCTACAGCAAGATCACAGCGCCCAGAAAGCCCCAGCGCTGCAGCAGCGGCCATGCGAGCGACAACAGGTATGATCTCAAGTTCATTTATAAATGTGAACATTTAGATGTGTCACATTTTGCTGCTTCACTTACTTAACTGTGATCTGACCCTTACAGCAGCGTACTGAGTGGAGAGCTCCCCCCGGCCATGGGGAAGACGGCCCTGTTCTACCACAGCGGGGGCAGCAGCGGCTATGAGAGCATGCTGAGAGACAGCAGCGAGAACACAGGAAGTACGTCCTCCGCCCAGGACTCCCTCAGTGAGCACAGCTCGGCTACCACCTCCTCCAGGCGGAGCTCCAAGAGCAGCAAGAAGAGCAGGAGCAACACAGGTCACTATTTAACATTGTATTATTTGCTTTATGATATTTCCCTGTAACTGGATTATGGAGTTCCACGTAGGATGGCAGGAGAGGCATCTTAAATTGAGTGCTTACTATGTGTTTATAGAGGGGAACATTTGCCTTAATCAGTAGAGCTGAAGCACCACTCAAAATAGATATGACAAAACTATGAGTACCATTTCAATAACACTTGAAATTCATGGACCTATAACAAATAAAGGCAATACCAGCACAGTTTTCATGGTTAGTTTAAAAAAAAAGAATTAACATCTCAATCACTGAACACAATCAAAATAACAAATCCAAATATGAACACTTAATCTTTAGAGGTGAAAGCATTGACCCAATGTGATCAGAAGGCAGCTAAATAAAAAAGAAATGAAGATATAATTGATACAAATCGTTGCCAAAGACCTCTGTGACGAGAATTCATTGGCACAAATGCACAATGAGAAAGCAATGAACAGGTCAGGGAAAAGTGAAGGAAGCTGCAGCTGCTAAAGTAGGTTGCAGGTAGGAAAGGTGACCCTGACCACTCATCTGTGAAATGGTGAGGGGAATCTGCGGGTGTGGCTGTAATGAATATATATTCAGCAGAACAGCACACAGAGGCTGCTAGTGGGCCCGTCAAATTACACTCTGCTGGTTAACCACGAGGATGGATATGCGCATAAAATCAGATTGGACAGACGCAGCACTTCCTGGTGTGTCTCTGATTGTTAATTAAAATTGGAGTAACCATTTCCACCCATGTGTGTAGAAAGCAGCCTTGCTTCCTGATACGCAGCATAAAGTCTGGATCTACTCTAATTTTCCTTTAAAGTGGACCTATCATGCTATATTTGAATAATATATTGTAGGACCATACCTATATAAAACATGTCTGTGAAGTTTTTTTTTCTCAAAATACCAAACAGATCCTGCATTTTAGCCATGCCTCGTTTCGCTCTATTTATTTTATTCCAGCCCTGTTTTTGCAAGGGCTGATTCTGCTTTTGTGTCAGAATACAGCGCCTCTAACAGGCCTGGCATAAGTACTACAGCGTCTCCAGCGCTTTCGAGCGGCAATGGCCGTGGCCCAACCTCTCATTCCCCTGATAGGTGGAGAGTTGCCCATATAAGCGGAGCACCCCTTGTCTGACGTCAGAAAAATTCAAATCTCTATCAGATCCGTTGCAGCACCGTTTTTAGAGATTTGGGTATGGAGGAAAAGAGAGAGGGTTGTGTTTTCTGACACTTGGTGAGTTCCCTGGAACACCGGGGACACATATTCATGTATACAAGACGTACAAAAGTGCATTTTGCATGATAGGTCCCCTTTAAACTGCGACTGATTCTGTGCTTCAAAGAGAGCTTCGCTGTCAAACTGTCGCAGGACTACAGGAAGGATTACCTGTGTCTTTGCACATGTTTTTAGATGTATGTAGAAATTCTGTCGTAATTGAGGAAGTCAAAATATAAAAATTAAGAAGGGACAGATGTGTCGCAGACTAAATAAATGAGTAAAGATGCGACCGAATTGTAATCACATCACTCGAGGAGAGTCTCCGTTTACGCTTGATTTCCATTAGATTGCGCTCTCAAAATGTCTACCGTGTCTCTACCTTTCCTCATCTTTTTTCATATTGCTCTCCCCTTGCATGTTCTCCACCCTGCACTTTCATTCTTTCTCCTCTTATATTCCTCTTCCAACCAGGTAATGAAATACAAATGTTCCTGCTTGACCTTTCTGTGCCACAATGAAACCCAAAGACAGCTGCAACCCTATTCAAATCCCCACTTTCCTCACACACCTTATCTCTCGGTTCCCGGTGAATCTGATAACTCTCATTCCTACATGGCTGGCCATTTTTATGCAAAGCGTGTATGCATGTGTGAGTGTGTGTGTTCATTGTCGCGCAGTGGGCAGATTAGAGAGTGACCTGCTGCTCTTATCTTTGAGCTTCATGAAATGAGACTCAACTTTTTATCTGGCTTCACACTCGATTATCTGTTTCTGGTTCCCTTTCTGCTTTTTCAGTCACTCAATACCTTTCTTTTGTCCCATCCTTTCTCCCTCCCTCCAGCGATTCATCCATATCCTCTTTTTCCTCTACTGTACCACCCACCATCTCTTTTCTCACCTTGCAATGTTCTGCTTTTAAAAATCCAGCAAGTGTCCATGCTCTAATGTAGTTCAGTAGTAAATGCTACAGCAGTTTGCATGGTGTAGCAAACATGTTTATGGTTAATACAAATGGCTATTTAGTCAGTTGAAAGATGGAGTTTTACTATATATTTGATGAGGAATAGACACTGACAAATGCACGAAGATGCACTTGAAGAAACATTTGAAATACCTATTTTTTGTTAGATTATTTGACGTATAATGATTATATTAAACAACACTCAATTCATGAAAATGAGAGTTGAATGGCTCCAGTATATCGTGTTTCTATAAACGTTTTGATAAACTCTGGTGGTTTAACAATGTTTTATTGTCTTATTTCTTCTTACAGGTCTGCAGCGTCGTCGTCTGATCCCAGCGCTGACCTTGGACTCTTCCTCCTCCTCACCCTCTCACCGCTCCTCCAAGCAGGCCGTCACTTCATCTTCTTCGTCCTCCTCTAGCCCAGGTGCATGCTGGGTAGATGGCCCACTGGGGCCCCCGGCTCCCTCAAACCTCCGGGGCCCGCCTGCCACGACAGAAACCTTCGAGATCAAGGTGTACGAGATAGATGACGTCGAGCGACTGCAGAAGAGGAACAAAGGAGGGAGCAAGGTGAGAGAGGAAGCAGTCGGGGATTCATTACTGAGAGGAGGAAGGAGAGAGAGACTTAACCTACTGCAGCTGAAGCATTCTAATGTTTCCAACCTTTTATTTGGGCTTTAGTTTGTAAGGTGTATCCACCTGAAAGAAAATGCAGAAAGGATGTTTACAAACCCCCTCCAAAAATACACTTTTTCACCAAATATCTCCCCATATTGTTGTGGTTGTTAGCATTTAGATGGCTCTAGTTGAACCAGAGGCTGTTTCTACAGGCTGTACAAGTAAAGAAGGCTGTGACTTTGTGAGTAATTGGACTAAAATGTCTTATCCTAAATGAGAAAAAAAAACGAATTTACATACATAAAATAACATGTAAAGGTGGGGTAGGTAATTTTGGAGAAACCAGCTCGAGTGCGCTGGAATTTGAAAATACACAACCGGAAAAAACCTGCCACTTCCCTACAGAGCCCCTCCTCCAACACACACGAACGCACACATGACCAATGAGGGCACGAGATAAGTTTGTGCCCGGCTAAAATGATTGGTCGTGCTTTTTACAGTACTACGGCTTCCACAGATGAATTTTTTAATGGATTTTTTGTCAAAGCACTTAAAATATTCATTGCTATCGGGATGTTAAGAGCATTCCATGGGATATAACAAAAAGTGTTTCTGAAATAAATTACATACCCCACCTTTAAGGGAGTATGGGAAAAATAAGGCTATAAAAAAGGGGAAAGAAGGATAAAAAGAGAGTAACATTGTGAAATACTGTTTTGAAGAAAGGGGAGAAAGGCAGGAAAGGGTTAAAGAAAGGAGAATGTGTGTGTGAGGAGAATATACCGTATGGAGGCAGGGCGAGGGGGAATGAGGAATGGATGTGTGAAGAGAATTAAAGAAGGTGGAGAGCAAAGGAGCAGAGAGAGGCCCAGAGGGCAGCAGGCATATTGCACTTGATGTCAGATAAATTGATTTGATGAATAACAGTTGTGGGAGACATTAAAAAGCAATAAGGGTTCTGTTGGACACTGTTGCTACAGGAGGAAGCTGGAGAAGAAGAGACCGGGACAAAGGAAGCAAAGGGATCTCAGCTGTTGGACGTATTTGTCTATAAGGATTACAGCAGTGTAGACTTTTCACAAAATGAATGAATCAACATTAGCCCTGCGTTCTGAATAGTGAGCTTTTCTTTTCAATAAATCTACATTATTCATCCCTCTGTGGTTCTTCATTTTAGAAGTTATTCATAAAAAATCCCTAGATTCAGCAGAATACAGAGAAGTATTGTGAAATTGTAAAAGAAATGCATGGTGCCGGTTTCTGTGTCTCCACTCTTAAACCTTTATGTATTCAGAGGAGGGAGCACTGTGAGCTTTGGGAAAAGTGTGGGAGAGAAAAGCATGAAATATAGATTTTCCCTACAGCAGGTCGTAAGAAAGCCACTTAACCCCGACTGCTCCAGTGAAGCTGCTCGGTGTCCGCGAGGCTCGATGAGGTGTGAATGTATGAGACTGTGTGAGTGTTAATGCTAAAAGAGAGCCACATGTGTTTCACAACACACTCCCCAAGGTAAATAGGTGAATACAATCCACATCATCCTGTCTGTCCTGTGTGTGTGTCAGGAGGTGGTGTACGTCAGCGCCAAGCTGCGGGTGTTGGAGAACCGTCAGCAGAGAATCACTGAAGTCAGAGCAAAGTACCAATGTCTGAAGAAAGAGCTGGAACAAACCAAGCAGCACCTGATGCTGGAGCCGCACAAATGGACCAGCGAGTGTAAGTAGCACTCTGACACAACAGGGAGTGTGTGTGTGTGTGTGTGTGTGTGTGTGTGTGTGTGTGTGCGTGCGTGTTGTTTTAGAAAAGTAAGGTTTTCAAAACATCCATGTTTCCTCTATACATATCTCTGTGTGTGTGTGTGTGTGTGTGTGTGTGTGTGTGTGTGTGTGTGTGTGTGTGTGTGTGTGTGTGTGTGTGTGTGTGTGTGTGTGTGTGTGTGTGTGTGTGTGTGTGTGTGTGAACTAATTGACTGGGTATGGTACTGGGTTCAGTAGCTTTTAAGAATCATGGCTCAAGTTTTTCTTGCCTGTTGTTGAAATTGAAAAGCATTAACATTTGTTTGGTTAAAAAGCTTGGGAATAACTCTTATAACACCTATTTTGAATAGCACAACAATTTGCTGTCTAAAAGGAAGTGAAAGGCTGGTTTAATTCAATATTTTTCATCATGTAAACAAATCCAATGAAGACACCAAGACCAACAAAGTCTTAGTCCCATTCAATAACTACTTTTCTAATCTGTGTGTGGATCGTGGAGCCAAAACCATTGGATCCATCCAAATGTTGAAGTGTAGTTCTCGCTCATTTGTCGGGGAATGTATCCAGCTGCAGATAAACACAGTTGTTGCTTTTGTTAGTTATTTATGGACACATGTGTAGGTGGTATTAAATCAAAAATAATGTCTGTGTTCATTTGAATGAATAATCACGTCATGCAGTGCAGTAGCATGGCTCATTGATGTGGAGGAATACTATCAGGCTTTGGATACACAATCTCAGGGTTCTTGTAAGAACTGAGTGATAAATGAATCGTTCTGGTTTTGGTGTTTCAATGGAATTTGCTGACATTAAGAAAGATCACCAGACTTTTAAAATCAGTAACTCATAATCAAAGTATAACAGTGGGTTTCAACGTCATATCTCTGCCTGTATTTCCATGTGCAGTTGAGATACAGCCGACCCACGAAGTGGACTCGCTGGAGTATTTGGAGGCTCTGGAGACCGTGACGGACAAACTGGAGACTAGAGTCAACTTCTGCAAATCCCACCTGATGATGATCACCTGCTTCGACGTGTCCTCCAGAAACCGGTAGACGATGGAGGGACGGAGAGCTGGAGGAGAGAGAGACGCAGACACAGCTGGACTCAATTAGACTCACTCTTTCCCCACCAATAACTCAAACAACTTAAAAAAGATCTTCTTAATGGATATTATTGAATGGTTGGAAGAAGGATACAGGGGCGGACCGACCTCTCATCCTCCTCCAGATGTAAGTAGCAGAAGGACAGAGATGGAAGTAATAGAGATATTTACAGATATTAACAGACCAGCAGACAGATACGTTTATAGATTTTCTTTTCTTGGGGCTTGAAGAAAACCACCTCAGAAATAACCTTTGAACAGCATCTATTGAACGGGCTACTTTGAACCAGATGAATATGGCTGAAGCGGATATATGGCTCTGGGTCTGAAAAGAAAGATCAAACGTAACCAGGACAAGTTAATAATTAGACACCTCTAAGACTGAGTCGAACATTTGGGAATGTATCGAGAGGAAAGGAGTCGAGAGAGGAACCAAAAACTGCCATTTTTTTCTAAACAAAGCCGCCGAGGAGAAGAACAATTTCTCCCATCGTTTTAGAAGAGCACTTTTTAGGTTACGCAGTTGAGAGCCATTGACTGCAGCATGGTATTGTTGTGCAGTTAATAAGGAGAAAATGACCAAGAGAAAGACAGGAGGACAAAGGAAATGATTTAGATAAGTGCCTTGTGAACAATTCATCAATACCAATTATATTTCTCACTGAATTTGTGTACTTGCAGTAAGTATGGTGCTAGCATAGAAAAAAAGACCACAAAGATCAGTGCCCTTGGAAAATCTTTGAATCTATAGCAATCTTTGAATGTGATGTTCTACTGTGGGTCGATGTTTCACTATATCATAACCAATAGTGTATGTTTGTATGGTCTTTGGTACACTGATGAGAGGTGAGACTAAACTGGATCCCTAACTAAAATAGACCTACAGAAGATGGACATGGACACATTGTCTTTTTAAATGGTGCAAGGACCAAAATTCCCATAACAAAAAAAGTACATAGTTTTTCCAGGACACAGAGAAATGTGTGTTTAAAATAAGATTACAAAAACACTAGTTTCTTGTGCGGTTGTTTTTGACTTTCCCCACAAACAGAGCACATCTGAATGTTGACCCTCTGGGGCTTACATACAGTACAGCATGTCTCCCCTGATACAGATGTGATGGCTTGTTCATGTTCACAAAGCAATGAAACGTCTGAGTCACACAGGAGAGGAAATGGAAATGAGTTTTCTCTGCTCCAGTGTGAAGTTCATCCATCGAGTGTCGGACTGACTGACACGCAGACCGTCTGTTATTTGTATCCGTGTTGTTCTGCTCTATTCTAAAAGAAAATGAATGATTTGTCAACGTGTGTGTTTTATATTAAGGTTGTCTTTTTTTATTTGAGTGCAATGGGACCACGTGGAGAATATGTATTTTAGAAAGAGAATACAAAAAGAGATATTTAAGACAAAATTGTGAGGAAGATGCAGGATAATTATACTTCTTAAGACCTGTATTATTGGAACAAAGTAGTGAATTAAAGAATTACTCACTTGAAACTACAATAACAAACTTTTTATATAATTCCAGTTTGTCTTTTATTTAAAGGAGACAGACTTTATAAAAGAACAATTTAAAATAAATATATAAAGGACTGAAAGAGAACTAAAGAAAAGGAGGGTGACCAAATTAAAAGGCATAGATCTCTGCCTGGTTCCATTTGTTTGGACGGCTAGCAACAATTTGTTAATATTATTATCTATGGTGCTTGAGATGTTTATGATCTAAATGTTTGTACAAATATAAATATGAAAAAGAGCCTGTTTCCCTCTAGAACCATACCCTTCGAATGCTTCTTCTACATTGCTGTCCTCACGTCTGTCCTCATTCTCCCTCTGAAGCCCTTTAGCCTGCAAGCAGAGAGCATTCTGGGAGATCCTGTTTGTTGTCTGAGAGGTAAAAAGAGAAAAATAAACCGACTGTAAAGATATTGGTATAACTTGTCAAAAGCATCGTGGTGCTAAAAGTATCTTTTTCCAGATACAGGAAATTATTTTTAACGTCATCACAACAGTCTTTCATTTCATTTACTGTACACCTTCAGTGACAGCATATGGATAATGCTGCAGGAAATCAACCCTGAAACTAAGATGCTTTTGACAGACTGGACCTAAGAAGCGATTTCACTCGAGGTGAGGGAGGGAGCCCTGTTTCACCTCCTGCGAAGGCTTCCTGTTTTTACCTCCCAGATCCCCCTGCCAGTCATGAATGAAGGTTTATTTATTTGAGCTCAGGAGAGAGCAGCGTCGCTTATCAATGTTCTTATTTATTTACACCTTATGATCTTAAAAGTTACTATGCATTTAAGAAAAAAATAACTGTACATACTTTGCTGAGCCCATGTCATATAAATATATATACTGTACACATATCATATACGCTCATTTTTATTTGATATATTTTCTGTTGGTTTTGTTTGCTCCTGTTGTTCCTGCTGGAGATTTGAATGGGATTTGGGTTTGCTAAAACATCCAGGGTAGATGTGTTGTTCCAGAGCAAAATGATCAGAATGTTTTCATGTCAGTATATAATACAGTATTATCTTAAGCCTTGTGAAATTTGCAGTGGATGTTTTGGGAACCCCAACCTCTAGATGAGCTAAATGGACGGTACTTGTTTCCAGATTTAAGATGCTATGTGTGAGGTTTCATCCTCGATGCTTCACTGCCACATTTACTGAGGAAGCCCTTTATAATCCTAGCAATAATTGTAATGGCCCCATATTGTTTATAGCTACCATAATAGATCACATTAAGCTTTCAGAAATAAAAGCTTTTTCATCCGAAGAAACTGTGCTAAAAGGGATCGCTCATTGTCAGGTGCTTTAAATAAATGATCAACAAAATGGCATCTGTTTCATCAGGATTAGGGTATAAAACACTACAAGCACGCAGTCTAATGAACAACATAACTGTGTCCTGCTAGAGCGTTCAAGATGTATGTGTTATTTGGAAAACTTACACGTAGCATCTTTAAGATTTTAGGCAGAATTGTATGTTAAAGTATGGATCAGACCACATTTCCCACAAATTCATTTGATCTGTAGCAGTAAGAAATGTTTTAAGACAGACGGGTTACAATCTCTACCAAACTGATTCAAACCAATTACTGTTTCAGTTTGAAGGGCAATCTGTTAAGAAGAAGAAAAGGGTATTTCCTATGAGATTTAGCCAGCGCTAACACACTCAGTGCAAACCTGAGAATATGACGTGTTAGATTTTCACTGTGTGTGTGTTGTTCAAATGATTAGAAACTACGATTATAACATGCTCTACAGATTTACTGTTTCTGAGAAATGTGGTCTGACACATTGTGTTGATGGAAGAGCAAGATGGAGGGATGTAAATAAAGAAATGTATTGAAAGTTTCCCATCCGATTCTTCATTCTTTCAGGTTGAAATAGTCAACAAAGAACGAGCCAGACTTCCTGTCCAAAACGTAATGAAATGCCAACATATTTACTCCTGAAAGATTGCTCACCAGCAGACACTGAGAGGCTCTATACAACATACAAGTCATTCATACATTACTTGTTAGACGCTTTTATCCAAAGCGACTTACATACTCAATACTGTGGGCAATCCCCACAGGAGCAATTTGGGGTGAAGTGTCTTGCCCAGGGACACAACGACATGCTGACTGCAGTAGGGTTTGAACCTGTGCTCCCCTGATCCCAACACCAACGCACTAGACCACTGCGCCACAGCCTCCCACATGAACACTATATAACAATTGTATCCAAAGAACATTTACGTCTCATTTATATCAATCGAAGGCCGCTGTTAACAAAGCACCTGGCAGAACAAGCAGGCTCTTTGTTCAGTGACCTTTTCAGCAGCTTAACAACTTCTACTGAAATATAAAACAAGACATTTTACTCCACATTTTAATTAAATAAATAAGAGGAACATTTATTTTGAGCTATATCCTCTAATGTTCAGGATCGCCTAGGATTTGTTTTGTGTTCATGTGCAGCAGCCAAATGGTTACAGTTCGAGTTATGAGGAAAGACCATGTGTGCGCACAATCTGATCTAAAGTTTCCTTAAAAAATTACATATCTTTCAAAAAATATAATTATATAATATTTGTAAATGAAAAATATAGTGGAGCATTAAGAAACATTTTGTACCTTACCATACTTCAAGGGAAGGTAATAGGCTTTTACATTGTGTGCCTGTTTTGTACTATCAACTATGTTCTGTGTGTGTGTGTGTGTGTGTGTGTGTGTGTGTGTGTGTGTGTGTGTACCTTCAGTAGCCTGTAGGCTGCTTCCTACAGTAGGTGACATATTGCCCTGTTGAGCCGGCTTTGATCAGCCACACACAGCAGGGAACAGGAAGGAGGTGAGGGGAGGCATGAGAGAGCAGGAGATAATAGATGAGAGAAGAGAGGATAATAAAGCCGGCACAAAGGGAAAGGCAGGCGAAGAAGGAGAAAAAAGGAGTAAAAGATTACATTTAAGGGAGGAGAGAGAGACGTGTGGAAGAGCTGCTGGAGAAATGAGATGGGCGAGGTTAGGTAAAACACAATATGGAGACAAGTGGAAGTTCCGGTAAAAAAGGAACACACTGGTCGAATAATACGCTATCATCGCTCAACAAATGGACTATTACTCTCTTTTCTGAACTCACCATATCATTTACCTCAGGCAAGAGTTTCTCAAGAGACTCATTTCCTTGCTATAATGTTCTCCGTTGTTGTTGCTGAGATTGGTTCCTGGTTAGATAGTTGTCAGGTCCACTCAGCTTAGAATAGCCACTGGTAATCAGTTGTCTGTTTGGATTTAGATCACTTGAATACACTGCACTTAAAGGTTTTTTCTTCATTTCTCTAATAAAATATGTATTTGTTCTTCCCACTTACCTCTTAAATGTTAACATGCATTATATCTACTTCTATTTGATGTTTCTCTGTTATTATCAAGTAAACAGTTCAAGCAACTCAAGTTTGAAGCAGAAACACAGTAAGCAAAGCAAATATGTTTTAAGATGGGTCACGTTTAGAATATCATTTACTTCTAACATGTAATGAGATTTCACAACACCAGCTAACTCGGTGAGAACATTTGTAAATCAACAAGTTAGCTGAACATGTTTAACTCAGCTTATTATTATAAGATGCATTTGAAAAATAACTAATAACATGAACTGCTTCATGAAATTGAACAGCAGAGGTAAATGCCAACAGCAGTATTGGCAATATTGCCATGCGCACAGTCTCAGCTGTGCTTCAGATTGTTGGTGTCTGCCAAGTAGCACTACACCCAAAGTTCATCTAAGGCTAATAAGAACATTTCAAATCACAAACCAAAGCCAAACAAATTGGCCAAAATGTGACTTTATGATGCAGCTAAATGAGAGTGAAGTGAAAACCAATGTGATGACAAATAATTCTGATGGTAACATTAATGTCGGTGCTAGATTATATGGCAATCCATTCAATAATTTGTGTTAACCACTTATTGGCGCTAACGTCTGGGATTCACAAAATCAGTAAGAGTCTTTCTTTTGGGACCATGAACAAATGTCAAAGCAATTATCCAGTCCAAAGAAAAGTGGTAGACTGAGCAAATAAAAGACAGAAAGACCCAATTCCCTAAGCCACCCCAACAAGACAATCAAGAAACTTCCGCTCAACAAGGGCTCGCTGCATCAGAGGCGGTTCCTCTTCAGCTCCACAGCGCTCTGATTTTAAGAGCCTGCTCTGATTATGAAGCAAATTTGAAGAGGAAAGAAAGACGGAGGGGTGATGGAGACATGGTGAAGATGTGGGGTTTACACTGAGATAGGTGTTATCTCTCTTCTTCATTTTAAGGTGATATTACTCAAGAAGAAATGTTAATATATCAACTCCTTATCACTGAAACACAGGGTGATAATCCTGAAACGATACCGGGGATCAAATCTACCATCTCTGGCTCTTAATAAAACTTGAAACAGAAGCGTCTCTTTGTATAAACCAGCAGCTTGGAGGAACATTTCAAATTCTACCGGTGATTCTGGCCATACATGATCAAGCTGTAGTTTAATGAAGTGGCATAATCAGAAGTAATAATGTAAAATGTGATATACAGATTAAAATATACTCTAAACACATTAAACAGATTAAGAAAACCAGATTTTAATGTCATAAAAAGTCAATCCTTATAATATGTAACATTCAATTTGGGTGAGAGGACGCTCAAGTCCTGTGTCTTGAAAGAGGACTCAGTGTTTACATTTGTAATAGAGATGAAGAATTAAAGTGGACCTATCATGCTATATTTGAATAATACATTGTAGGGCCATACGCCCCATACCTATATAAGACATGTCTGTGAAGTTTCTTTTTCAAAATACCAAACAGATCATGCATTTTAGCCATGCCTCATTTCGCTCTATTTGCTCTATTCCAGCCCTGTCTTCACAAGGGCTGATTCTGTGGCAAATGAGCTGCAGCTGACCACGCCCCCCTGCAAAGGAGCAGGGCGAGGCACGAGCGTCATGTTACCATGCTGTTACCATGCTGTTACCATGCTGTTACCATGCCACGCAACCTCTCATTCCCCTGATAGGTGGAGAGTTGCCCATATAGGCGGAGCTCCTTGTTTCTGACGTCAGAGATATTTCAAATCTGTATCAGATCCGTTTTTAGAGATTTGGGTATGGAGGAAAAGAGAGAGGGTTGTGTTTTCTGACACTTGGTGAGTTCCCTGACACACCGGGGACACATATTCATGTATAAAAGACGTACAAAAGTGCATTTTGCATGATAGGTCCCCTTTAAATAAGGGCCCACGATATAGAAGCAGAGACAGAAAGTGAGACATGATAGCAGGAAAAGCGTAAAGAGAGCCTAAAGGTGAGGTGGAGACACACAGAAAGAGAGGGTCTCCAACATGAGAGTGAAAATTGGAAATGTGGGAGAGCAAAAAGCAGGAGGGCGAGTGGATGAAGATGGGTTAAAGCCACTCGATGTACTTTTTGTGATTTACTCAGGCCGCCTGCAGAGACACAGCGAGAGAGGAGAGGAGAGAGAGGAGAAGATGAATAGTGAGTTTAATTTGAACGCCTTTGGGGAGTGAGAGGGACAGAAAATGGGGGAGAGAGACGGCGGGTGACAGAGTAGAGAGACAGAGGATTATGCTTATGTAATTTGATGGCTGTTAAGAGGTAAGAGAGGAGAAAGCGAGAGGGTGAGAGACAGAAAGCAACAGAGCCAAAGAAGTGAGTAATGGGAGAAGGAACAGCAGACATTCAGTCCTCTCGTTTCATTACTGCCTCCATTCAATCCTCACATTCATTTAATCTTTTCCAGATACTATTATCAAGCCCTTTTCTTCCCCCTCCCACTGATATAAGGAGGTACATTACAATATCTTACTACTGCTGTGACTTCTGTAATTCGTTAACTATTGATGACTTCCAATACAATTTGAATACACACATTTTTATGCTGAATAAGGAAACAGAGAAAAATGTACTTCAGGACATTTACACATTACTATCATGTCAGCTACTGCAGTTGGGGGAGGGGGGGGGGGGGGGCAATGAAAAGGTTTTAGAAAGGCATCTTTTAGCAATCTAAATATCTAACACAATGTCACTCTAATCCTCCCATAACCTATAGAAACACAAACACACACACAATCACACCACCACTCAGAGGAAATGCTGTCATCAGTTTGCAAAGAGTAGATTTCTAGGATTAACGTGGGACGTGGGAAGTGTGTGTGTGTGTGTGTGTGTGTGTGTGTGTGTGTGTGTGTGAGAAACTCATCACCACATTCCATCTCACACACACAGTCTGGTTTAACTTTGAACACACATAGACATGGATAAACATGGGAAGTGTCTGTGATGGATATGTATAGGAAACATGGATGTTTTGAAAACCTTACTTTACTAAAACAACACCCACGCACACACTAAAGCACCCAGATATTGTTCTAAACTGTATTAAAGTAAACAGGTATTATCTTGAACTGTATTGAAGTGAACATGTATTATTTGGGACTGTTTTGAAGTAATCCTATATATATAAACCTTCTTACCTACAACTCCATAAGGCAGATATCACCAACACACACACATACACCCCCTGTCTCCAGCACACACACATAAACTCCTTGACCCAGATATCAGCAACACACATGCACACACACACACATACACTTCCCCTCACTAACACACACATGTTCTTTTTCAAGGTTCTTTCTGGGGCCAATATAATCCCAAGCACCAATATATCTGTGTACAATGTTTGACACCAATATATTTGTGTACAATGTTTGATTGTTTGGGAAGGAATAGTTTGTGTGAAATCTTTCTTGGGAAAGTAAAGGAGTTAACCCAGGTATAAGATAAAAAGTGATTCTGACCTTGTATA